CTTTGATCTTTTTCACTTTCAGCAAGCAAGGTTGTCATCTGTATATTTTTAATGTTTTCCTCTAGTCCTGATTCTTGTTATATAGTCCAGCTTCTTGCATCATTTGTTCACCATATAGACAAAATAATAGTTATGGTGATATGATGCAACCCTGACACACATCTTTCCCAATTTAAACCTTGTTCTGTTGGAGTACCTGCCTCTTGGTCTATGCACATGTATTTTAATAATTTCTTTCTTATCAGTCTTTTAAATAATATTTTGCTGTCTCATATAAGGTGTATTTGATGTCTTTAGTGCTTAATATGTCAAGTCTATTCTGAAGATGATCCCTAAATTCAGGTAGGATATAAACAAAGTCATAATTTCCTGGTCACTCAGACTCCTGCATTGCCATTGGGTCTGTTCTGACGCTTAGTGACCCTGGAGGTCAGGGTAGAACTGCCCCTCTAAGTTTCTCTGACTGTTCACAGGAGTGGAGATCCACACCTTCCTCCTGCTAAGCTGGCCAGTGATTTTGAACTCCTGACATTGCAGTTAGCAGCCCAATGCATAACTACTACACCACCAGGGCTGGTGTGAACTGGTTTTAATTTTCTTCAGCTTCAACCTGAACTTGTGAACAATTGATAGCCTGTTCTGTAGTTAATACCTGTTTTACTTTTTACTGATGTCATTGAGTTTCTCCATTATCTCTTTTCACAAATCTAATATATATATGTTTTTATCTCCATATATAAAACTGAGCATTATGTTGTTTAAATTGGTTTTTGCATTTAATAAGACATTGGTCTTGCAAAATTCTATCTTGTAATCTTTAACATAATTTCTATCACCAAGGTATTATTTTTCAACTACTGATTGCTCTTTGTTTCCAACTCTTAGTTCCCAATCAACAGTGTTTATCAATGCATCTTGGTTGTATATTTGTCAATTGTAGGCTGCAGAAACTGGTTAAAATATTCATTTTTTTCATCTTTGGCATCAGTGGTAGGCAGGTAAATTTAAATAATAGACCCATTAATTGATTTTACTTTTAGGCATATGGGTATTTTCCTTTCATTGACAGCATTTTACTTCAGGATAGATCTTTAACCGTTCTTTTAGATAATAAACGAGATGCCATACTTCTTCAGTTTAGCATTCCTAGTATAGTAGACCATTTGAGTGTTTGGTTCAAAATGGCTATTTCCAGTTTCTTTCAGTTCATTAGTGCTTAAGATGTTGATCTAAATGTTTTCTCTTTAATTTTTACACCTTCCAATTTTCCTAGGTAAATCTCTTTTAATAGCTTCAGGAGATTATTATTAAATTTGATAATCAAGTTTACTTTTTGTTAATGGTGAAAATAAACAAAACAAAATATACACTATCTCAACAATTGTTACATGTATAATTCAATGATATTGATTAGAATATTCACTGTGTGCCATGATTTTCTTTATCTGTTAAGAAATTATATTACCAATATTAACATAAATGCAGTGACCCCTTAGCAAAAAAAAAACAAAATCTCTTTCTTTTTCTTCTACCCTTGGTAATCACTAATAAATTTGTTTTCTAAATGAGTTGAAGTAGCTCTATTGGCATAGGGGTTAAACTGCTGACAACAAGGGATTTTCAAATTTGCAAGAAGCGGAGGCTGTCTGCTCTTGTGAAGATTTACAGCCTGAGAAATGTTGTGCAGTAGTCAAAGGTAAGGAAAGCAATCAATGGGGGAAAGCTGATAAAGGCAGAATTGGAAATATGATTTACAGGTAGGTAGAAAATACAGGAGTATCATCCTTTAAAAAGTACAAATATAGAAACTATACTATCCTATTTTGGGCTTCTAATTTTGTCCCGCTCCTATAGCCCTATAAAGCACACAATTCAAGGGAATCAAGTATATTCCCTCTAAACAGAATTTTAAAACATTTTTGCATAGTCCCCTGTTTATTATGAATATTTTTTGTTTTAAAGGGATAATGGGGATAATGTGCTTATAAACACATTTTCATAATAAAACGATCTAAAAAACGAATCCTTTATGTAATAGGACATTTGTTTACTCAAATATTTTATGTTGTTGTTGAACTTAGGGGCCATTGAGTTGGTTCTGACCCATAGTGATCTTAGGCACAGCAGAACAAAACACTGCCTGATCCTGTGCCAGCCTCACAATTATTCCCATGCTTGATCCATTGTGGTAGCCACAATGTCAGCCCATCTCTCTGAAGGCCTTCCTCTTTTACGCTGCCCCTCTACTTTATGAAACATGATGTCCTTCTCCAGGTACTGGTCTCTCATGACAACTTGTTCAAAGTACATGAGACAAAGACTTGCCATCCTTACCTCTAAGGAGCACTCTGGCTGTACTCCTAATACAGATTGGGTTGTCCTTCTAGCAGCCCATGGTACTTTCATTATTCTTCTCCAGTACCACAATTCAAATGTGTGTAATTTTCTTTGGTCTTCGTTATTTAATGTCCAACTTTCACATACATATGAAGCAATTGAAAATACCATGGCTTGGGTCAAGCACTTAGTCCTCAAAGTATTACCCTTGCTTTTCAGTACTTAAAGAGGTCTTGTGCAGCAGATTTAGCTAGTGCAATGTGCCTTGACTGCTTGCAATGTGCCTGATCTCTTGACTGCTGCTTCTATGAGCACTGATTGTAAGCTAAAATCATATGCAACTTCAATCTTTTCTCCATTTATCATAATGTTATTATTGTTCAGTTGTGATGATTTTGATCTTCTTTATGTGTTGTGTGCCATTCCAGCTTTTATCAACCTGATGTGATAGGAAATTGCTGCCTTGTAGGATTTTCTAGGCTATAATAATTCTAAGCTTGTCACCTAGAATCTTTTAGACAATTAATTGCTAACCATTAGATTGCCTGCTCAAAACCACCAGCCACACTGTGGGAGAAAGGTAAACCTCTCTGCTCCTATAAAGATTTATAGTTTCAGAAATCCTATACAGTATAGCTAACTAGGCCTAACAATCTAGCTGAGGGAAGTATGTTTTGCAGTTGAAATTAACTCAAGCACAGTGTTGTTTTTTTAATACATGACGATCAGTTCATATAAATGAGATCATACCATATCTGTCTTTTTGGAACTTACTAATTTCATTCAGTGCAATGTTTTCAAGGTTTATCCATGAATTGACATGCACCATTTGGAAATAATTTTATAACTATTGTAATTCACACAGTGAGTGTTCCAATGTTGTTCAGCTCAGTTGCATTTATCTGGGGAGAGTAGGCACCAACTTGGGCATGACTGTAGGAATGGGATGTGGAATATCCGTACACATCAGAATTTTGTTCATTCAACCATGACTGTTCACTCCATCTAAGCATAACTACTTACATACCTATTTTTTTCTTGTTCTGTTATATGCTGTAATACATTTTGCTGAAAACCAAATATAAGTAGTAAAGAACACCTCAATTGCATCAGCTCTTTCCCCTAAATCTTCCATTTCTGTTCATATGATCACCATTTTGTTTATCCACCTCATGGGCTAGAAACCTAACATTTGCATTTATTCTCTCTTCCCCACCACTAACTAAAAAAACCCTGAAACTAGATTAATATTTTTGGATTTGTTTGTACACTGAATAAGTTCTGGGTCTTTTTCAATTCTGCTTCACAACTAGTGGGAATGTTGGCAACCTACATTCTTCTTGTTTGTCCCAAAGCCTCATAATTCCAATCAAATTCCTTAAATTGGCTTTGAAAATGTCCTTCTTCTGCTCAGAAACATTGGGTTTCTCCTTTTATGTCTTGCTAATAGAAAAGTCCAAGTTCCTTGCTCTTGAATCTAAGACTAAAGGCACTGTGGAATGTGTTTCCAGTTTTTATTACTCCCTGTACCTAGTGTTTAGAAAGTATGCAATAACTGTTATTCATTTTTTTAATTAGATGTTTCCCAACATTTAACTTTTTACATAGATTTTTTTTTCCAGTAACTATGCTTTTCTCTTTTGGATACACCAAATTATATACTTCAAACTCGATCTGAAGTATTGTATATCCTGCAGAATATCCCTGATCTCTTCTGGATGAAGTAAAAATATATCCACTCACATTTTTATTTATTGCAGCTACTGCTTTTCTTCAACCATGCAAAGGTGAATAAAATAGCCCGCTTCAATCTACTTACTCTAGGGCTTTAAAAGAAACCCTGATGATGTAATGGCTATGTGTTTGGCTGCTAACTACAAGGTCAAGTTCAAACCCACCAGTTGCTCCACTGGAGAAAGACTTGGCTTTCTAATCCTGAAAAGAGTTAAAGTCTCAGAATCGCACAGGGTTGCTACAAGTCAAAATTGACTGAATGGCAGTGGGTTTGGTTTTTTGAAGGTCTTTAAATTAATTAATTAATTGCCACACTGTCTTAACGGTCCTATAAAAACAGATTGCACAGCTCTGTTATTTCAGTAGGATTTACAACACTGGGGAGGGCATTGTAAACTCATTGTACAAAGGCAAAAGCCATGGCAAATTGTATAGGTGAATATTGAGGGTTGAATATAATGGAAAAAAATTCAATCAAAGAGAATAGCACAATAAAGGTACTAATGCTTAAAACATCCTAGGGTGTTCAAAGAACCACAACCAAGTTGGCTTAGCCAGAAAGTAGATATAAGAATGAGATGGGGAATGCTAGAAATGGGAAGTACTCATATTATAAAGTACTAGTTATGGTAAGAAATGCCTAAAACATGGTATGAATTAAGCAAACATGTATTCAGTGAATGAATGTATAAAATTTTATCTAAAAATATATTTATTTATATTTAAGTAGTTAATATTTCATAATATATGAGGTTTCACTTTGTCTCATTGATGAAAAATATTTATACTTAATATTTGCAATGTTCCATATGATGTTTGATCTGTTAATATTACAATTTAAAATGTTCCTATTAATATAACTAGAAATTCAAATTTCTCAAAGTTAACTTATACAAAGGGTTAACTTCTATTTATGTTTTCTTTCCTAGGATCAGACATTGTTCAATGGTTACTAAAGAACTTAACTATAGAAGATCCAGGTAAACACATAATTTTCCAATTGATACTTTTTTTTCTATTTCTGAACATTTTTGATGCAATTTAAACTGTGTACTTTAGCATTTAAAGAATCTTTGTGGCTGTTGTTGTTAGGTGCCATTGAGTCAGTTCTGACAAATAGTGACTCCATGCACAAAAGAAGGAATCATCTTCTACATTCCCATACTTTTTCATATGCTTGAGTCCATTGTTAGGGCCACTGCATCAATCCATCTCATTGAAGGACTTCTCATTTTTGTTGCCACCAAGCATGATGTGCTTCTCCAGGGCCTGCTCCATCCTGACAACATGACCAAATTTTGTGTCACTAAGCCTTGCCATCTTTCCTTCTGGATGTATTTCTTCCAAGACAGATTTGTTTGTAGACTATGGTGCCTTCAATATTCTTCATCAGCACTATATGTCAAACACATACATTTTTCTTTGGTATTCCTTATTCAGTATCCAACTTTCACATGCATATGAGGCACATGAAAATACAATGGTTTGGTCAGCCTTACCTTAGTCTTCAAAATAACATCCATGCTATTCAAAAGTCTGAAGAGGTTTTTTGCAGCAGATTTACCTAATGCAACATGTTATTTGATCTTTTGACTGCTGCTTCCATGATTGTTGATTGGGCATCCAAGCAAGACAAAATCCTTGGCTACTTCAAACTTTTCTCTGTTTTTCATGGTATCACTGATTGTCCTTCTTCAGTATGGATTCAAATGAATGTAAAGAAGGCCAATGTAAAGAAGACGAAAATCCTCACAGCTCATGTGGTCTATCATTAGTGTTCAATGCAGCAAATTTGCTCTTAAGATGCTCTTGATATTCAGGTGGCATAGATTCAACATCATGTTTTAGCTAATGTGGACTGATTTTAATTTTCTTCTGCTGCAACCTGAACTTAGATGGGAGAAATTGATGGTCTGTTTCACAGTTAGCCTCTGACCTGCTTTTTTGTTTTTTTTTTTCCCCTCACTGCCATCAAGTCAATCCTCACCCATGGCAATCCTACAGGGCAGGATAGGATTGTCCCTTTGGGTTTCTGAGACTATAACTGTTTATACGAGTAGAAAGCTGCATCTTTCCGTTGTGGAGCAGTTGGTGGTTTTGAACTGCTTACCTTGCAATTAGCCGCCCAATGTGAAACTACTACACCAGGGCCTGGTTTTAGCTGCTGATATTGAGTTTCTCCATTGTCTCTTCCAAAATATATAGTCAATTTGATTTCTGTGTATTCCATCTGGAGATGTCCATGCATAGAGTTGCTTTTTGTGTTGCTGACAAAAACTATTTGCCATGAACAAGTTGTTGGTCTTACAAAATTATATCATGTAATCTAGAGCTTAGTTTTTGCCAAGACCATATTTTCCAAACATGGTTACTTCCTCTTTGTTTCCCACTTTTGCACTCCAATTGCTAGTAATTATCAATACATCTTGATTGCATGCTTGGTCAATTTCCAACTGAGGATGTTGGTAGGATTCTTAATTATCTTCTTCTCTAGATTGCTTTATATATTGAATGAATTTGAATAATAGTTTTGTTTATTGGATTTCCTTGAATGGGGATAGATATAATCCCAACACAGACAGCAGTTTACTTCAAGAAAGATTTTTAAATGTCATTTTGGACAATCAATTCAAAGCCATTCTTCTTGATTGTGTCCATCCAGCATAGTAAACAATATGATTTTCTGGTTAAAAGTGGACAATACCAGTCCATTTCAGTTGCCTAACCCCTAGGATATAGATCTCGATGTATTTGCAGCTACCCCTAAAAAAACGGATTTTTTTCCAAAGCTATGCATTTAAATTTTTTTACAACACCATCTTATCACCTTCAAAGTATTCTCCATATACTTAATACATTTGTCAGATCTGCAATTCCATCCTTGGAAACATTATTCAAGCTCATCTGTTTGGATGGCTGACAGTACCTCCCTTGTGTTTTTCCTCACCTCTTCTATGTAATCAAATCTCTTTCATGTCCCTCTGTATTTGGGAAAACAAAAAGAAGTCACATGGAGTGAGGTCAGGTGAGTAAGATGCGTGAGGCAAGAGAGGCATGCTGAGTTTTCTTTTTTTTTGGGGGGGGGGGGGGGGGGGGGGGGGGGGGGGGGGGGGGGGGGGGGGGGGGGGGGGGGGGGGGGGGGGGGGGGGGGGGGGGGGGGGGGGGGTTGTGGGGGTTGCCCAAAACTGGCACACTGAGATGGCTGAGTGAACAGATGCATTGTAGTGGTGGCAAAACCAGTCCCCATCTGCCACAAAGCAGGCCATTTTTGGTTGCACACTGTTATGCAATATTTTCAGAACCTCTAAATACAAAGTTTGATTAACAATCTGACTTGATGGAATGCACTCCAAATGTACTATCCTCCTCACATCATAACAACAAATGAGCATCATCTTTATTTTTGATTTCACTTGAGATTTGGGGGGCAAGGTGATGATGGTATCATCCATTGCCTGGATTGATGTTAGCTTTGGGGGCCATAAGAATAGCACCATGTCATGTCACCAGTAATGACCTTGGAAAAAATGTCTGGGTTGCTTTGGAGCTGTTCTTTCAAAGGACAGCATGTTTCTATTTGACACGTTTTCTGCTGGTCAGTGAGAACCTAAGGCACAAATTTCACAGTGGCCCTTTTCATTCCCAAATATTTTGTTAAAATGGGCTGAACTGAGCTCCAAGATAGTCCAGATAACTTCCCTGTCTCTTCAGTGGCCCATCGTCAGTCTTTGAGCACAAGTGTATGACTTTTGTCGATATTTTCGTCTGCTCAGGAAGTTAGTGAACACCAGAAAGCAGTTTGTTATTAATCGACATTTCACCTTTTTTGAAATGAGAAAACCACTCATACACTTGAGTTTTTCCGTTAGTGCTGTCCTTGAAAGCTGTGTTCAGCATCACAACAGTTTCTGCGGCATTTTTTCCTGCAAGCTGTTCTCTTAAATTGACCACCATAAAAAACAAGGTTATAATGAAACAGCTTTCATAAAAAAAAAAATCACTGTGACGAGAGCACCTTCTCAGGTCATGACACTGGGTGCACTAACTCAGAGCAAGTTACTTGCTGCTTGCCTGGCAGGGAAAGGGTGTTCTATGAAAGCTCTGCACAGTGGCGCTTTTCCCCCCTTTTGGGGGTTGGGGGCTGGGGGCAGGGGTGGGGGACCTCCCTGTATCTTATTTCATTTTTCATAAATTCCAATGTTCCTACATTTATATTTTCTACATTCCAAGTTCTAATTATTAGTTGAATTTTGCAGCTCTTTTCCTCACCTTGAGTTGTACCCCATGAGCAATTGAAGACCTCAAAGACTCTATTCCCGCAGGCTCTACTCCATGCTTGCCACCATGGTTGACTCTACTTTGAAAAAATCAGCTTCTCTTCAGTCACATTTCAAGTGCCTTCTGATCTTAGGGATTCATCCTCTGGCAGAACATCTCCAACAATGGTCTGCTTCCATTCATTAGGCCTTCAATGTCTGACAGTTTCCATGCTAGGTTTAAGGTTTTCAGTAACTACTTCTTCTGAAGTGGACAGCCGATCGATTCCTTCTTCCTAATTTCTTCTGAGTTGGGAAGCTCAACTCAAACCTGTGCACTTTGGGTGACCCTGCTGGCATAACCCAATATACAGGTACCACAGGGTGACAACCCCCCAGACTAGTGGTGACTTAGGAATTGCATTTGATATATCTTAATATATTTTAAGTGCACTATCTTTTGAAAGAACATAAATAGAACATATTGATAAATCTAAACTATTTGGAATAAAAACTATATTTTCTCTGTATGTAAAACTGTTAGACAAAGAGATTAGAGACTGAGTTCAAATCTCCTATTATATTTAATACTGGACACCAAAAAAAAAAAAAAAAGGCATGTTGCCTATTTGACAATGACATTGCATGGGGAAGGTGGGGTGGAGGGGTTATGCTGGTTTCTTTGTTCTATTTAATTTTCTCTGCTCATTTAATCTGTGTTCATTCAGTTCATGGGTTTTTGTTGTTTTTTATTGTTGTTGCTTTAGTGTTCATCAAATATTTATGATTAATTTTTTTTATTTGAAAAAGATTATTAATTTTCCTTAATATTATGTGGTCATTTCTTTATCTTATGTTTAAATAGGCCTATTTTATTGTATAATTTACTTTACTTCCTTTCAATCATAAGTATACTATCTCTGCATTTATTTTATTTTTATTTTTTTAACATTTTATTAGGAGCTCATACAACTGTTATCGCAATCCATACACACATCAATTGTGTAAAGCGCATTTGTACATCATTTCTCAAAACATTTTCTCTCCACTTAAACCCCCGACATTAGGTCCTCATTTTTCCCCTCCCTCCCTGCTCCCCCCTCCCTCATGAGCCCTTGATAGTTTATAAATGGGTATTTTGTCATATCTTGCCCTATCCGACGTCTCCCTTCACCCACTTTTCGGTTGTCTGTCCCCCAGGGAGGAGGTCACACACAGTTCTATGTAATCGGTTCCCTCTTTCCTACCCATTCTCCCTTTACCCTCCCTGTTTTGCCACTCACACCACTGGTCCTATAGGGCTCATCCGTCCTGGATTCCCTGTATTTTCAGTTCCTATCTGTACCAGTGTACCTCCTCTGGTCTAGCCAGACTTGCAAGGTCAAATTCGAGTCATGGTAGTGGGAGTGGGGAGGAAACCTTTAGGAACTAGAGGAAAGTAGTATTTCTCATCATTGTTACATCGCACCCTGACTGGCTCAGCTCCTCCCCGAGACCCCTCTGCAAGGGGATCTCCAGTGTCTCTGCATTTATTTTTTATTGGCTTCTTTATAACTTAATATAATTGGTACCTTATTTTCAATATCTTAAGTTTGTTTTGCTTTGGACACTTCTTCATCTGGGTTTACTTCTCCATGGCATTGTCATGCGTACTCCTCTCAGGTTGTGTGTACTGTTTAATTCTCTCTCCAATAGTCACCCCTTATTATTTTTGTACGATTGAC